CAGGGTGGAACTGCCTCTGTGGGCTTCTGAGACTACTACTCTTCATGCAATTAAAGAGCCTCATCTTTCTCCCATGGAGTGGCTGCTGGTTTCAAACTGCTAACCTTGTTGTTAGCAGCCCTACATGTATCCACTACACCAGAAGGGTATAAGAGCAGTGCCAGGAAAACCCAGGCCTGGGCCTAAAACATATTTCCTTTTATAGTATAATAGTTAAGAAAGGACTATCTAGTTCCAATATAAGCCTAAAACAACATAATAATCATAAATCAACAACCCCTGGACTGAGAAGAGTGGAAATGGCATTTCTTTCTTGCACTAATGGTTTCCAAGGTTATAAATCTTTCCTGGGGATGATAGCCTTGTCTTCTATGCGGCCCCCCCCCAGAGGCTGGTGGGTCTTTGCAGCTAGCATTCCAGTGCTTACCCAAAAGCACCACAAGGGCTCATTTCATTCTTGCACCACCGAAGTTTCCTATTACATCTCCTCTTTGTCCACCACTTCTGATTTACAGAAGAGAAGCGGACATTTGCAGAATTAGCACAAAGGCAGTAGAAAATAATTTCTCTCTCTCCAAAGTCTACAAAGGGTTGTCTGTTTCTTTAACAGATGCGGACAAAACTTCTATTTCTAATTTTAAAAAAGGAGGGATCATCAAGACTTCATCATGAAATGGAAAAAATACCATGTATTTACAGGAGCCTCATGAAACAAGGGTATGCGAATTTACATTCATTGCATGTTGTTTTTGTATATCACATGGCTGTGTAACTTAATATCTAAAAATTTCATCTCACCTTCATCTTCAGCCTATACCCTTCTTTCCAATCATCTAATCAAAGTCTCCCCCCCCCTACCCCCATGGCTCCATGCCTCATGTACATATTTTTCTTTGAAGTTTCCTGAATAATCAAAGAGTTCTGCATTTATGAGATGACCCAGAAAGCTTATGGATTAGAACAGTGAAGAGTCAACATTTAATCAGCGACAATTGATTCTAATTTGGTCCTGCAAGTGATTACAAAGCCAGAAGACAGAACACATTCATGCGTATCAAATACTTGCTTAAGTTTACACAATTTTATCCTATAAAGAAAAGGCAAGGGCATTTTCCCTTTATTCTGAACAAAATGAATGAATCAAATTATATCGGGAGAGTTCACATTCTTTCAACTATCCTTTTGGGTCTTCCTGCAGAATCCAAAATAATAGAAGAAAGAATATAAACTTTTTAGACAGAGAAATCTAGCACAATTTGGGCGCTATCATGTTGGGTAAGTTATTTCTCTTCATAAGCTCTAGTTATCTTGCTTGGAAATTTGGATACACTCTACCTCTAGGATTGTTGTGGCTATTAAATGAGATCTGAATGCAAGACACATTGCTTGTTACAAAAAAAAAAAAACAACAGTCTCTGGAAAAGCTAGACTGTGTTCAGTCTGGTTACAGAATCAAATAATAATATCTACCGCAGAGTCTCGGCCCTATGTCAAGAGCATTGCTCTTCCCCACTTCATTTGGTCCACCAGACTCATGTACGCACTGGATGAAATGACACATAATGACCATTTCCTGCACTGCATCTCTAACCTCATCATTTGGAACACGTACCAAATGCTATTCCTGGCTCACTAGTTGCAAAGGAAATACAGGCGCCAAAGACTTGCATTGTGTTTTTGTGTAGTTACTATAAGAGAACAGTGATCACTTCCCATGTCCCATCAATTGAAAGACAAATACCCCTCAGAGGACAAGTGTGCATCAAAGACCTTGGACAGAACACGAGGGCTCCCTCCTTTTAACACAGTGCATCAAATGCTTTCTAAAAGACATTATATAATTTTTAAAAAGACTTCTTTTTGTATGTTAAGAAAATGCCTTAGTAAATTAGGCCACCAGCTATGAAATTTAAAGGTTCACCTTGTTTTATATCTACAAATCAACTAAAGAGCACTTCCAAAAGAAGAAAAGACTGTTTTAGGAAAATTAAACTATAGAATGAGGTTTTGCTTATGACTCATTGTTTAGAAGCCAAATGAGAAAGAGTTTAGCATATATTTAAAATGATGGGGTGGGGTGGTCTTTAAAGTGGAAAAAACCAAGACATATCAACTATTTATCTTGCTGCATTTTTATATCTCAAACTCACCTGAAATATAGTTAAGATTAAGAAGAATGGATGATGGAACATTATTTGCCTCTAAAAAGAATAATATTTATTGTTTTTATTTTCTTATTATATAGATAATCTTATAGTAATGCAAGAGGAAGTATAGTATAGAAGAGGAAGAAGGTCACCATGGCGACAGCATATTTACAAGTTAAATCGAATCAATCTGTGTTCTTTAATACACTGAATGAAACAGTATTTGGTTTCTTTAAATGTGCATATATCCATGATTCCCTTAGGTATTTGAATTTCAAAAGTCTAGTTCCATGATAAAATTTACCATAAGAAGACAACTCCATTCATCAGCAAATCGATTTCATATTGTCTAATTTTTATATTCACTCTTTCTTAATTCAAATTTTGACTACAATGTAGAGTTACAAAGACTACTGCCAAGAGTGAGGACATGAAACAATACAAAATATTTCCAAGTGCATTAATTTCACACAACTCCAGAAAATTTTAATGACCTCCTAAACATCCTAAGCAACTTCTGTAAGAAGATAAACATAACAATGCAGTGTGGCTAAGACCTTAGTGAGTAATTTTGATAAATAATCCAGTGCATCTATGGAATTGATTTTCAATAGAATAAGCTACTTTTTAAAACCTATTGTAAATGTTTATTTCTAATAAAGTATGATTAATTTACTCAGTTGGCTCCTGGCAGCACTGAAAGTAATGGAAAATTATCATAATCCAATATGTTTGATTGCAACAGCCTGTGCCTTCATTGTCTTCCTAGATGCCTTTCACATCGGTCCATAATGAAAAGCAAAGTCACAACCAGACATTTTGGAAGACACAATGGATTGCTGTTCTCTCTCAGAACAGATCAAGATTTCAATAACTTATAAGGTAATTTGAGGACTTCCATTATATAATCTCCCAACAAACAATTACAGTGTATAGATTCTTCCATTAATTAGCCCAGTGGGTGTACATATACATATATGTATATGTATTCTTCATATACATAATCCATGAAACAAATTAAGAGTAAATTGTAGCACGGGTTTAAAGCCCCTGACTCATGAATATAGCAGTTGGAAAACCTCTAACCCAAATATCTATGTTGTTTCATTGGAGAGCAGAGTCAAGTTCGCAGGAGAGAACGCATTCCAAACAGTGTGTTCCATTCTCTCCAGCCCATTCATAAAGTGCCTTTCTGTTACGCAAAGGCAGCACCCTGCTTGGTTAATAAACACAGGCAGATGTGTGGTGTTAACTGGTGGCACATCCTAACTAGAAAACACCACTCACCTTTACTTACAAACAAAACTTAAGCGAGATACTTAGAAACGCCTTTGCGCAGGGGTCGTTTGTATTTCTCCAAGGAGGAAAATCCAGGCATCTGACTAAAACGGGGAATCAGAACGTACACCAAACAGGCAAGCTACACAGGAAAGCTCAGGGGGAGTGCTCTGACACGCAGGAGTAAACTAGTGGTGTGAGTCGGAATTGGGAATAGCTGTGGGATGAGCCAAGCCAGGTTGTGTTTCCCATTTCCCACCGACACTGTCAGGACTAATTGAAGGAAGGGGATTTTGCACTCACTAACATTGGCTTCCCCTTTCTTAAAGCGTTCTTCTCCAAGAGGAATCCAATCTCTCCAGTGGAGAGCTCATCACCCCAGACCTAGCTGGTTCCCTTTAATTTCGTGCGTGTGTGCCGTGAATGCAAACCAAGGGAGCCAACAGGGCAGATCTATGCCAGCACAAGACTGCATGGTCCTCTGACTTTTGTTTGCTTGGGTTTTCATTTTAGACACACACTCTCACCCTCCTTGTGAAGCCAGCGAAGATAATGAATATCCCTGTCCCTCGTCGAAGCAGCACCAATCACAGCCGTGAGCTCAGGAGAACCGACTCAATTCCAAGGATCGAGTTACGGAACCGCGTCTCTGTGGGTCGCCACCCAGACCCTTTCTGTGGCCCCGCACACTTGGTGCCCGGAGCGAGAAGGAAGCATCTCCCTTTATTCCTCCCGAGGCCACACTTTCTTTATAGACCCACCTGCATGGGCGCTTCGTGTCTCATTGTTGGTAAATTGTCCTTTATCACTTGCTAAGACAGCTGGCCTGGGCGCCCGATCAAGCGTGCACAGCCCACGCGCTCCGTGCTCCACACTCTGCACTCTTGGGGTTCGCTAACCGGCTCCAACATCAGCACCGGCGCTGTCCCTCCTGGAGCTGCACACGCGTGTCGGCCCAGAGCCCCAGGCCCTCCTGGGAGTTGTAGTCTTACCAGGCTGGGCTTCCAGGCAGATTGGCCTCCCACAAACTACATTTCCCGGCAGGCAAGCATACAACCGCCCAACTCCCCTGGCCGGCCCTCGCCCGCCTCGCGGTCCCTAGGCTCCAGCCGGCTAGCTCCCAGCTGGTGTCGTTCTCCTCCTCCCCAGCCCACGTCCTCACAAAGCTTAGGCGAAAGGACCCCAGTTCATCTCGGCTGGGCTTTTTCTTTGCCAACAATCGCCTTCAGAAGAAACCACGTTGTGATTCCAGTGTGAGCTACGCGCGGTCTAGTGCTAATTCCCCAAACAAACGAAGCCTGCGCTGGGCTCTGGAACTCTCCGCTCCACCCCTCCCTAACAGGATTCTAGAAAGTTTATATATTTCCATAGGCCAGGTGGGATGGTTTTACAATCTCCCTCCACACACACGGCGGGGGAAAGATGGTGACTGGCACACACACGCACGCACGGAAAGGAGTTTGAAAGCACAATTGCATTGAGAAGGCGAGAGCACGGACACTCGCGCCCAGCCACACGCCACGCTCCGAAGTCCCTCAGAGAGAAATTTTGCGCGGAGCGGACATTGCTGCTTACCTTTCCGTACAGCTCCATGGCAATTCCAGGCTCAGGATGCCCAAAGCAGCCTCGCCGCTCCAAACCGGCTTGAGGTCCTTCGCAGGAAGCGGGCGACGCTGGAAAGGCGGAACACAATGGAAGGGGACAGGGGTGGCGGCGGCGGCGGCTGGCAACGCGAGAAAGAGGGGCGTGGAGAGAACAACTGATTTCGCTGGACAGCTCCGCTGGCTTCTTTGCTCCGGAGGGGAAGCGTGGAGTCTTCTACCCGCAGCCGCAGAGAAAGGCGTGAGACGCGCCTAGGAAGTGCCGGGGGCGCGATCGCGCGAGGCGGCCCCTCCCCGAGCCCTCCCCCAGGCACCTTCCTCCGTCGGGAGCGTGCACACCCGAGCCTCTGGCCGCCGGCTGCGCCGCTGATAGGGCGCTGGGCTAGCTTCCCGAAGCAAGTCCTAGAAAATGAACGCGGTCATCGCCAGAACCCAGAAGCACCGCCATAGAAGAAGACGGGGACGTCGGTTAAGTTTAGCTGTCCCTTTTCAAAGAAACACTGATTCTTTACATCACACCCCTACCTCTCCTAGATAGTGCAAACATGGTGTTGAAATCTCGGGAGTTCTATACCTTGCTACGCTTATCCCCTCCCAATGCCCCTTAGTTGACTAATACGTAGACCACTCAGGTCCTCTTCATCCACCTAGAGATGGCCCACTGCCCTCACGAGGAAAGGTGGACCAGCGCACCAATGAGCGCTTCCTTGACACAAGGTAAAAGTGATACTATGGGAGTCTCAGAGGACAAGACCGATTTGGGGTATCCACTTGAAGCAACTTGAAACTTCGTTGCTTTAGATTAAGTGCTAGAAGAGACATTCAGAAACTTAAATGTACTGGAAAAAGTAACTTCCAAAGGATATGTTTAAAATTCATTTTATTAAACTGAGCGTAGAGATTTCAACCCCCGAGATCTATTGAAGAGGTTCGAAACTTATCATTTTTATCAAGCACCCCAGGAAGTCGGATGCAAACGATTTATTCCCATCGTTTGAGACGCACATACTACCTTAAGGAATTATACGTAAGATGTTTTTTCAAACATATAAACCTAAACAGCAAAGATACATGTGTCAGGATTCTACGGTACTTGAAATGTTCTGCTCGTTTAAGTTTCTAAGAAATTTTATTTAAGTCATTCTTCCAATCTTCCAGTAAGTAGCAATAGAAGGAAATAGCACTTAGTAGTTTTGGTGACTCTTCAAAAACACTTTAAAAAATGCTCACCTCACAATGGAGAGTGAGTTCTATGATGGTTAAAGAAATTGAACTTAAATTATCTAATAATAAATTAGAGTAATAGAGAATCCAATGACAATATGCTTCCACGGGAGCAGTGTATTAAAAGCAAGACTTCTGGAACTTTTTAAGTAGGATATACTTAAAGGTGTATCTTTTTGTGAAAATTTTAGAGGAATGTATTAATTGCTATAAAAATGTGATTGGCAAAAGTTGTGCAATTGCTACACTTACAACCACAAGAACAACAAAGGTAGTTGCCGCTTATGTACAAGCAAAGACCTCGGGAGTTTTGGTTCTCTCGTTTGCAGGTTTAGGATGTGGTTTCATGGAACAAGCCAGGTATTGGCCTAGTAGTATGCTCAGTGCTTTTGTTCTGCCTCCTAGTTCATTGTGTAGCGCTCTCCGATTGCAGGTAGCCACCCACTGCACCATAATTAGTCTCTATTCACCTGCAGCAACAAAAGAAGGACCTTTGGGGCTAGCAGGGGGATATGGAAGATGTGGCTAATTGACTCCATGAACAGCTACTTTCTCAGGAGACCAGGAGAACCAGATGATGCCCGGCTTCCATTCCTGAACATTTGGATCAAAGATTCCATAGAAAACCCCTAATCAAAAGGGAGAAATGCAGAATAGAATTTCAAATTCTCATCCACTACAGATTTCTGGAGTCACGGAAGGTGGATGAAACCCTGCAACCTTTGCCCAAGATCATCTTTAAACCTTAACCTAAAAATATCTCCTAAGTGTCCTTAAAACCGAACAATTGTTTAGCTTAACTTGTACACAAAGGTTATCTTGACTACTATGCTTTTATGCTTTTCAAGATCTATGGATAGGGAATCCAGCCAGAAACAACAACTTGAAAGTTTACATAGGAACTTAAAGGGGCCAGTGGGTTTATGTTAATCATGGAGGAACACCTGAGAAAAGAAGGTAAGAATAGTTCCACAACTTGAAGACTTTAATCAATGTCACTAAATTATACATGTAGAAAATGTTGAACAGGTATATGTTGTACTATGTGTATTTTTAACAAAATAAAAATTTTAAAAAGAATTACTAACAAAATTTTAAAACAATGACAACAAAAACCTCACTGCCATTGGGTCAATTATAACTCATGGCGACCCTATACGACAAGGCAGAAGTACCCACATGGGTTTCAGACTGCAACTTTTATTTTGTAAGAGTAGAAAGCCTCATCTCTCTTCCTCGGAGTGGTTGTGGTTTAGAATGGTTGGCCTTAGAGTTCGAAGCCCAACATGTGACCACTACGTCACCCAGAGTCCTTGATAATATTCAATAATAAGAAATAATACTGAGTCTTAAATGCCCTGGTGATGTGGTCAGGTTAGCATGGGGGTGCTAAACAAAAGGTCAGAAGTCTAAACCCACCAGCCACTCCACAGAAGAAAGTTAGATCTTTTGCTCCCATAAAGATGTATAGGCTCAGAAACCCTATATAAGGACACCAGGAATCAAAGTTGACTCAATGAGTTGGGTTCTTAAATGTATAGAATAATTTGTCATTTAATTCTAAAATGCTTCCACAGCAACTGTAGGTCCGGTTTTCCTTCAGAATAATTCTCTAATTTGAGTAATATCCTCAGTTTCTGAAATGGCAAAAATTCAGAGACAGTTAATACAGAACACACTTAAGTATTACAGTATTTTAACTTTATTAAAAAATTGACAAATATCCCTTGTAGCACTCATTAAAACAATAGACCTACTAGGTGTTTCCTAAAAGCAAAAATTAATAAGAACTGGGTTTTGTTTTGTTTTAAAATAGAATTGCAAAATGTTTTAGGGTCCCTGGTTTTGACCAATTTCTGTTGTCTCAGTTACATATTTAAATGGGTTGAGAAAAAAAAAAAACCTAGCTAGGAGTTAACTAAACAAATAAAGGGGGACTGGAGCTGATTACCCACCTAAAGTCAGACCAGAACTTTAACTCTGCTCAGAATCAGGCCTCCATCTAAACTCGATTCCTAAGTCACCATCGAGCTGCTACAGAGCCAGCACTTACATTTGCATTCCAGCCAGCAAGAAGGAGGAAAGGATTTAGCAAGTACAATCTCTC